AGCAGAATGAAGATTTTTTTTTTTTTATAGAGCCTAAGCTTCAACTCATTCACCCATGTCTTTCATACTTGGCCAGAAGTTCAAACTGTAGCTGCTGCTGAAGACTGATCTCCATAGCCAGATGTAAGAACTTGTAGAGCTAAAAATGGCCTACAAGGCTAGAACAGGAAGAGAGCACCCAGGAGCAACTAAAAGAGCAATATTACCAGGAAAAAAAAGTATCTTAATTAGTGGAACATCAAGGAGTTGATTGTTAATGCCTTAAGTGAAGAACAAGGAGGCATTAAGTTAGTTGCTCCTCCTACCCTACTTGACTCCATGAACAGATATACTAGTGCTGCTGGAGCAGGAATCAAAGCAGTGTGCCTTCTATTCCAGGCAAAAATCAGCAGTCCCACTTAAGATGTACTAGTCAATTTTGGGGGATTGATTTCTTTTAGGGAAAAGTGTATGTGGGTAAATAAATAGTTTGTCTTGCTAGCTGCTCACTGCAAAATACAAAGCAATTTTTCCAGCTTTTTTTATAAGCTTACATGGTAAATCAGTTTGAGCTGTAAAGCAGTTCAGTCTTTCACATCATTTTTTTTAAATGAGAAATTTTAGTAGCCTGACAAATCTATATAATAAATCAACTGTAACAATGTGATTGATTTCTATAGATCACTTTGGTATTGCTGTGTTTAGTGCCACTGTTTAATAAAATAGATATACACGTTAATATTAGAGGAAAAAACTAGAGCCCTTTCTTCTATATAATACAGGCAGTCCTTGACTTGTTTCAAGTTGCAACATTTCATACTTGCAACAGTTATAAATTGACACTGTTTCAACTTTGTCAGTTTTGACTTACAAAACTTGATCTGATGTAATGCCATGCCAGCAAACAAGTTTGTGTTGCTCATCTCCCTGGAGAACATCTGTACAAACTTGCTTGGACACTTTCTTTAAGAAAGCAGGCAAGACTCCAGAAAAACTTGCTGCCAGGACTGCTGAGAAGACTCCAGCCAAGAGCTCTTCAAAAAGTCCAGCAAAGTCATGTCCAAGAAGTCCTTCCAAATCAAGATGATTGCTATTAACAATACCTACGTTAATGTAGGTATATTACTCATCTATAATTGATTGAGTACAAAATTCTGGGGTATTTCTGGTGAGAACAGGGTATCGGGCCTTGGATCAGGAACCAATCCCCTATTTATAATATTGTTTCTTATGAGAAAATTGGTTCTGAGTTACGTTTCGACTTGAGACGCAGTTTTCGGGAACCAACTGTCTAAGTCCGAGGACTACAATTACCTTAAAGCCTTTTTTCATATTAAGAAAGTTATAGGCAAACTGTCTTGCATAAAGGAGCTAGCTTTCTGCTTACAATAGCAGATATTGCAACTGCTTTTCTACAGTGTGTTAATAAAATAAATGTGTTGTTCCTTAGGAGGGATGTTTGAATATGTAACCGGAGCCAATTTTTTTGGCGAGATCCTCGAGTGGTTTGGATTTGCTCTGGCCTGCTGCACCATTGAAAGTGCTGGTTTTGCTATGTGCACACTCTTCATTCTAGCTTCTCGGGCAAGGCAGCACCATGAGTAAGCTTCCAAGATTACAGAAGTTCTATTTCCTTTTCTAAATCTGTAACTTAAGAAATTATTGGGTATTAAATGGGGATATAGGGGTTTGCATGCATCTGGCCCCTGAGACATTTATTGATTCCGAAATATTCTTTAAGGCTGCTTGCCTTTGCTTTAAAATAAAGAACTTTTTTTCTTTTAAAACTCAGTATACTCCAGTGCCAACCCCAGCACATGCCCAGAAGAGGCAGAGTTAGTTGAACCTGGCTTGCCCGTCTCTATAGATTGGGTGCTTTAGTGGGGCTTTCTGGTGCTTTTATCTAATAGCTGTTTGAATCGGCTCTTAGATAAAACCACCAAAAAGCCCTGCCAAAGCACCTGATCTATACAGGCACCTGTGGAACCAAATTGAAGTAATGTGCTGCTGCTTCCAGTAAACCATGTGGTTTTTTGGTTTCTTTCTGTTTCTCTTTAACATCTGCAAGCACCCCAAGTTAGTAACTCCTAATGGTAAATCCTGGTTACTTGAAACTTGCTTTAGGTAAATTTAACTTGCTTAAGTCATTTTTTGCAGTTAAACACTACTTATTTAAGTAAATGCTAGGAAGGGAGAATTTTTTTCCCATGAAATTTCATTCCTGAGCTATCTAGGTTGGAAGAGCTCATGTAAATTGAACCACCAAATTTTTTACAAAGTGTGTAGTTTTAAAAAAAAAAATCTGATTGTCAAGTTCTCAACTTAAGAGGTATAGAATGAGGTTATGCTTTTATACCTTTCCTTCTCATAAACTGTTGTATAAAATCTTCTGAGGGACTACAGAGAATAATGGGGGGGGGGGAATAATAAAAGCTCCTAACCTAGCAATAGCTAACTCTGAACAATTGGTCAGATTGCTCAAAGTGGATGACGCACTAGGTAACTTGTAAAAGTCACCCCTCTGATTATCTGTTGTGGTCCTGAAATGCTTTTATTAAAAAATTCTCCTATAAATCTTTCCAAATTAGTCTGAGAACAGCTGCTGTTGCAGTAGTACATACACTAAACTGTGTAGTACATGGGTGTTTAGTTACAGCCCATGGAGCCCCATCACCCAGCCTGCAGTGCTGCCTGTGGGTCTCTGACCAGTCTGCCATGTACAGCACCCTCCAGCACCAGCACCACATGCTGAATATGGTGCGCAGAGCCTGTATGGCATGGGCTGCATGTGATGGAGCCTGTCTGGGATGTGCACTGCATACAGCACATGTGTTGCCTTCCCTCTGGTGGGCCTGTCTAGGGCATGCACTGCATGGGGCAACCATACCAGACTAGCCCTGCACACTGGATCTATTTGGGGCCAGTCCAGGTTTAGGCCCATGCAGTGGCCCCATGTGCTAGACCTAGTGTGCAGGGCTGCTCTGGTATGGGTGTCACACATAGCATGCATCTCAGACACCCCCTGTGCCATGTCCTGGGCTAGTGCATGGTGCATGCAGCACCCATGCTGGAGCAGCCCTACAGGCTGGGTCTGACACGCAGGGGCAGTCTGTAGTCCCAGTCCAGCATACTGGACAACCCCTGCATTCCTTCATCTCACCCCTCTGACACCCAATAACTTGCTCAAGGAAAGGATTCTTCATTTTCCTTTGATATCAAGCTTTTGACACCTTTTCTTTGATACCAAAGGAGAATGCACAATCCTTGCCAATTCCTATTTGCAAGTTAAGTTTACCTACAGAAACTAGTGAGAATTGAATAGACTGGGGGGGGGGAAAAAAAGAACTTTCTCCATTTGCCATTGGTAAATTGTTGTAGAGGGTGGAGAATGCTAGGCAAAACCTCTTCTAGGAAGACTAGAGTATGAACTTGGAACACTTGGCATTCCTTGGCATAAAATCAGTTTCTCTGTTGCTTTTTTGGGGTTAGTTATGCTTTGGTCATGCAGTCAGGTTGCTAATGTCAACCCCACAGCTACCTGTGAAGATCCCAGATTGAGAGAGTTCTCCTGTGTTTCCCATATTTTTTTTATATAAACTTGGTTATGGTATTCTAAATAAACCTAGCAAATAGGATCTAACAATCTAAACTAGCTACCAGCATTCTAATCTGATCTTAAGTTTTTCCTTACCCGAATAAAAACTTGCTTCAATTGGCAAGTGTGCCTTCATACCATATTCCATAGCTTCCATTTTACATCATCACAATGCTCAGCTGCCATTGTTACTTTTTTTTATGATTCCTGGTCCATTCTTTGCACTGGCTTCACAAATAGAATGCCTGTTAGTTTTGATTTCTAAATAATTGGTAGCAGTAGGTTGGTTTTAATTTTTGCAGCCAGCTCTCTGCCCCTTTTTATGAGGATGCATGTGCTAACTTTAAAATAGCTTGACATGCAGAGTAAGGCTAGGAGATTAATTTTATAGTTTTAAAGCAATTAAAGTATGGATTAAATGTTTCTCTGTTGGAAGCTTCCTACAATAGACTGTCTTCTCTTGTAATGCTTTGAAGATGTAATATTAACTAGGTTGGTTTGTATTTTTTTTGCAGGTGGTACTTGGAAAAATTTGAAGACTACCCCAAATCCAGGAAAATTGTAATTCCTTTTCTGTATTGAGCTGTGCCTCGTATCCACCTAGCTTTGAATGATGGTGACTGCTGTTCTGAAAGTGTTCAGTTCCTAGTCGGTACATCACAAGTGTCATCCAGATGGATTTCTTTGAATACTAGTATATAAAGGCTGCATTTTATGCTACTTTTGGCTTCCTAATGGGTAAAATACAGCTGAGTGGCAAGGAGGTGACATGAGAAAAGACAGCCCCAGTTTTCCTGGAAACAGCACAGTGCAATAAATAATATGGCAAGAGCATCCTGATCCTTGTCATTGGAACTAGCTTACTACAATGGTGCCCATCTCTCTCGTCTTTCTACCTGCTGGTTCAGCTTTAGTTAAGTATGCTACTTCCAGAATGCCAGGATGAGCTACTTGCATTGCACTGTTTGGATGCAGTATTCATGCATTAGGCAGCCATACAACAATAGACTTTTGTTCAGAATTATGGCTACCCTGTAGACCAATAACAATAGTGAAGATGCTACTCAGACTTCTTTCATGCATAGCTGTGCAAGATGGACATAATAAACCAATATAAAGCTGCTTGTGCTACCTATATCAATATTGGTTATGAAAAATGGATTAAGATTTATATATCTGCTTTTATGCATGTGGGAGTGTTATCTCATGCTACTTAGTGGGTGGGTTCCCACTAACCTTTATAAGAGATGTTACTTTA